AACAAACAAACAAACAGACTGTGTAACACTTTTTAAAAGCATCATATCGACATCCTTATTCATCACGAACTTGCAAAGTGATAAAGATTGACTCTTTGTTTATGTTAAATGTTCTAGAAACTACTATTATTACTTCTCAACAGATAACACAAAAATTAGTGTTATTTCGTAGTTAGCAATCAGACGCTAACACCTGTACAAACATTCTTTGTTAGGAACTCTCTGTTCCTCGATTCTGTGCCGTTACAAAGCTTTAGCGCATGCGCATATGAGAGTCTTGTGATTCTTAAAACAAATACGTAGCTTCTCGTGTATGCTAAGGTGTAGTAACAGTAGAAGTAAAACTTAAGCCTTAAGATGAAAGGCACAGGAAATAATTGCTGGGGTGCGGGAAGTTTGTGGTAACTGCCAGCTGCTAAAGCTTTGGCATAAAAGTTGTAGTGTTTTGTTACACTAGCAATAGGCTTTTCACGTAGAGTATAGATACACTGACGCGTCTTCATACAGATCGTATTTCTGTTCCACTTGCCTAGCTGAGCTCATTTTATTTGTCTCTCTTGAATGTTGTTGATTTCTACAGTGAGCTCTCGTAGTTATGTTTGTAACAATCAACGAGTAGTTAGTTGTTTTGAGATACGTTAGTTGGGTTAATATTTATTTATTGTATCGTACAATGAACATTAATAGCAACGTTTCTAATAATATTTGGCCTAGTTGTTGGTGATTGTTATTGTTGCATTGTACGATCAACATTAATAGCAACGTTTCTAATGATATTTGGCCTGTTGTTGGTGATTGTTATTGTTGCATTGTACGATCAACATTGGTGGTGTTGATCGTTATTGTTGCATTGTACGATCAACATTGGTGGTGTTGATCGTTATTGTTGCATCGTACGATCAACATTGGTGGTGTTGATCGTTATTGTTGCAGCAAGTATTCAACAGTGACAATTACGTTTCTGACAATAGGCGTCTGGTCGATTTTGAGACACGCGAATTCTGTTGCTACGTCTTGTATCGTACAAACAGTGGTGGTAGTTGTTTATAATAACAATGACTTGTTTTGTGTAATATTAATCAGATAATTATTTTTCTAGTTGTTTTCAGACACAGTCATAGTGTTATTTTTATTTTTGTACTGTGCAAACTACGCGTTTTATTATACGTACTATAGTATACACATTTCGTGTGTTTTTGACCATTGTTGAAAAATATGTACAAACAACTGGTGCACTTCCCCTCTGTGATTAAAAAAAGCTTATCGTTACAAGATATCCCTGGAGGATATTTATATCTACAACCTTTACTACGGATAGAAATATTTTAGAGTTATTGCAGTTCACGAACACTTTGCCGAATTTTATCAAATAATTAAACTCATTGTGAAAGTTCTAGCAATTCATCTCCGTCAAATGGTTATTCATTTACACAATTACTTTGTTAGTGCTTGATGGTAAGTTATAATAATGATCTCGAGTTGATTCGAATCCTGCATGAAACGTTATCAAAATGTGTACCCTAAAAGTTTGGGTTAATCTTGAAGCGCCATCTATTAGAGACTTAAATGTTAACTCACGAAATATTCGGCATTTAACAATGGTATTATAAATTGTAATTTATCTTTTGTTGAATAAATAAACATACACCTGCCGATTATGTATATGATACAAATTAGTACGGTATGTTTTGTGAAAACGTTTGGACTCTGAATTATTGGGGAATAACGTAAATGAGATGATTTATTTGTTTAAAATTAACCAAATATTTAATTTTATCATCAATATAGTGCCACAAAGTTCCATATAGATATAACAAATTTTATTAAAGCCACATTCATGTTTTACTTTCCCAAACGTATGCAATTCTGTTCTTATAAAATAAAAATGTGATATATTGGAGTGTCACAAGGTTAAGTGTGATTTAATGGAGTGTCTAAAGGTTAAGTATATTCTGTTGGAGTGTCACAAGGTTAAGTGTGATTCAATGGAGTGTCTAAAGGTTAGGTCTGCTCTATTACACTTAACCTTGTGACACTCCACTTAACCTTGTGACACTCCAATAGAGCAGAGCTAACCTTTAGACACTCCATTAAATCATGCTCTATTGGAGTGTCACAACATTAAGTGTGATTTAATGCAGTGTCACTTGTATTTTTTTCACAAGAAAAGACTATTAGTTTTTCATTAAAAAAATAAGACTATGTTTTGAAGCAAGATATAGTAACAATGGGATATGTTTTTTTAGCAATCAAAAGGGAAGACTTTTTTGATGCTGGAGTGATGGAGCATGTAAAATATGAACTTATGGAACTGAATGCAGTTACTCAGGTAGACATCCAAGAAACACCCAGAGCAGTCACATTCCAGAGCATTGTAAGTTCTTTTCTTTTTCTTGTTGACAAATAAACAGTCTTAGTATCTTATATGTATTCTGTTGAATTCACCAGTTACTGGATTGAATTATTGTTTTAGTGTTACGATACTTTTATTGCATTACTAAGTTTGAACCGAAGAGAATAATTCGTGACTCTTTCTTTATGTCATCTGTAAAGTCTCCTGTTGTTGTGGGTCAGTCTTATGGTCAATAAATATTATTAATTTTTACAGTTGCTCTCATTTCAGTGATGTAGTGATATAGGTATTTATAGTTTTGTCTGTATGTCAGGTTCAAGGAAGGAGAGTGGAGAAGTCTGGTAAGGTGACGGTGTTGTTGCACTGGCTGCCAGAACAAATGTAAGTAATCTCTTCAAAAACAAGTACATTGTGACAAATCAGTCACACTGATGTGGTTCTATCAGATCGTGAAGGATAATAAAATATGCAGTTGTCAGTATAAAGTTATATTTTCATATTCTTATCTTATAACTGTACTTTAATAAACTATGTTTGTAAACGAATATAATTTCATAAATGATATGATAAGGTACCAACTTTACGGGTAGAAAAATGTCAGTTGGATTTTGTAATGAAGAAAATTATTTTCAAAACTAGATTGTGTCACTTTTGTCAAGTTGGTACCTGATTTTTGTAACACTAAAATAACTAATGATATTATCAAAAGCTTGTAACCAGTTTTTCAAAACAATTTGAAATGAAAATACCAAATTAAAATGTATTTTCAAAAATTAGAAGCTATTTTTGTAATGCTTTAGAATCACTTGAGAAAATTAATAAGTTGCTTATAAAAGTTACTAATTTTGTTATAAAGGGTAATTCCAAAGTCATATCCCTTATGTTCTACAGGGTAATTCCAAAGTCATATTCCTTATTTTATACAGGGTAATTCCCAAGTCATACCCCTTATTTTCTACAGGGTAATTCCCAAATCATACTCCTTATTTTCTACAGGGTAATTCCCAAGTCATACCCCTTATTTTCTACAGGGTAATTCTCAAGTCATACCCCTTATTTTCTACAGGGTAATTCTCAAGTCATACCCCTTATTTTCTACAGGGTAATTCTCAAGTCATACCCCTTATAGAAGTACATATAAATTGTCACGTGTTGCCCACCCACTTCAAGGTACAGTAGCGTTAATTTTCACCATTCCCTTTTCCTCTCATATAGAGTATGACTTCTGAATAACCCTTTTTTATGCAATAGAAATTGTCTGATGTCCAACAAGTGTCATTGTGTATATATAAACTCGTATTTATTGTAATTTATAGTAGTGAAAAAATTTGCAGTTATAGATTTAAAATGCTTTTTAAAAACTAACAACTAATTAATTTTTTAACAAAAACAAAAAATTAGGCTTGATGCCATATTATATGTATAAACTCAATAGTTTTGTTTCTGTAAAAAAAAATCGGTATCATTGTAAAAAACTACTTTGAGCAAGTGTCAAAGTGCAAAATTCTTCATATAACACAAAACTGCTTTAGTTACTAACAAATGTTGCTTGCCAAAAACCTAACAACAGATTCTATGGTGTTTGAGATAATTTAAAAAAAATAGTGTGAATCAAACTGCTTGCAGAAAGTCATTGACTGTTTTTGTTTCAGCTGAAGTTTGGGAACTACCAAGAACCAAGTATCTTTTACACAGTTAGCAACAAAGTTTGTAATAAGAGCCAAATAATCAAAGAGGAAGCATCAGGTTTCTGAAAATTTGATTGAGTGTGGTTTATCCAATTTGTCAATTCATCAGCTTGTTATATAGAGTGATTTCTTGTATAAGAAAAAAATGTCTTATTGCTTTGGAAACTAACATAATGTCAAGTATTTGAACAAAATTATGATTTAGTAAGTAATACACTTCCTAAATTAGCAAGTTTGTTAGTTGCCTTCCAAGGGCTAATAATTGAAATTTTGTATTATCATTGTTAGAGAGAGTGAGTTATTTCATAAATGTGATGTAATTGAATGTCAGCCTGATGTGAACTTTTCACACTTTCAAGGTTCCAGAAGGATCTGAATCACTATTTGTTGCGATAGTCCACCTTCCAGACCATTCCAGAATACTTCTACCCCTTGGTGATATTAGAGTTATTTCTACTTTAGACCTACCGTAAGATTAGATGAAGGCCAGCATTTTTAGATTTATTGTAGATTGAGCTCCATTATATGTATCATTATCCCCCCTCCCCTCCCATTTAAGGAAAACTGTAGCTGGGAAAGGATTAGATAAACATACCAGGGTTTATATTTTTTATATTTGAATGTAGGTAGCGACGTGAATGTGAAACTAGTGTTGCTGAAGCAGCTTACTGATTTAAAATAATGAAGATGTCATCTTTCATGTGTGAAACTTATATCTATACTTCAGTATTGAGAGTTTGTATTGATTGTCATCTGAATTAATAATAATAATTATTATTTCTTTTCAGTTTCCCAGATGAATGGGTGTGTGAATCACAAGCTGCCCAAATGTCTCATCGTACCATTCCAGTGACACATCTACCTCGTGAAGCCTTAGACACATTACATCCTTCCCCGTTACCTCTTGCCTCACGGAAACGCAAGAGAAAGTGATGAAGATGGTGTTAAAATGATTCTCTGGAAATAGGGACTATTGCAAGTAGATGGTAACTGAACGACTTTGCTGTGCACGTTATAACTATGCAACTTTATGTTGCTATGCTACTAAGTTATACATTAAAAGATATGCAGGTGTGTTCTGTACATGAAGATTCATAGCAATGTGTTCGGTGTGGGGGGGTGTTGTAGTGCTATTGCACCTGAGGATACTGTTTCAAGAAGAACACAAATTAGAAATTAACTTTTATTTTCTAAATTAATTGATTCAGCAGTTATGTATAAAATATTTTATTTTGTAGCAAGATGTTAAAGCTCTTAATCAAAAACGAGATATTTAAGAAAACAAAAAGAGGGACGCTTGAAGATGATGGAAAATTCATCAAATCAATCTTAATAGTACATTCTTAAAGAATGAACTGACAGCAAAAAGTGGATAAGTAACAGAAGACTGTTATGATATCAACATTGTGTAAATAGGGTTAAAGAATAAATAAACATGTAAAGATGTATACATACATAAACTACAATGTATGAAGAAAAAAATGGCATATCTTAGTTTGAATACTTAGTTTCATCATGAATTAGGGGGGAAAAAATTCCTTCAGTTTGTTTTGGGTAATTTTTTTATTTTGCTCATACAACTTAATAGGATAAAATGCTTAAGAACTTAAGAAAATATCTTATGTTAATTCGGCAATGATTGAATAAGGATTTAATTGGTATTCCGAGGTTGTTACTTGGATATGTTAAAGCTGTGAATTCATTGTCTGTTCTATTTCATGTGGTGGTTACTTTGCTTCATTTGTACGAGACAAACATGTTTCATTGTGTCTATTTATACGGGACAAACATGTTTCATTATGGCTTACGTTTTTCTGTTAAAAAGTTGCAGTAATTATAATTAGATGTCATGTGATTGTTTTTTGTTTTTTTTCTTGAGAAAATAATTTCATTTCTGTGGGAGATGCTGCAAAGTACATACAAGTTCAGGTATCATGTACTTTCTGATACATAGACATCCAAACCGTGTTTTGTTGTATGTGTAAAGTGCTCTTTTTTGCTAAATGTGTTAATTTTCTTGTGTGATAATGCAATTTTACAGTGTACTGTTCTTGGTGGGGAATCAGATATTTCTCTCAGACTCCTAGTTACCTCTTACAGTGTTCTGTTTGTGGTGGGGAGTGAGACACTTGTCTCATACCAATAGCTATATTTTTTATAGTGTTCTACTCTGGATGGGGGAGTGACATTTGTGTCAGACCCATAGCTACATCTTACAATGTTCTGTTCTTTGTTGGGATGAGACACTTGTCTCATACCCCTAGCTACATTCTACGGTGTTAAGTTCGTGGTGGGGAATGGTACACTTATTTCAGATCTGTAGCTATATTTTAATTGTACACCATGTGAAATCTCGACTATTGTTTAGCTCTGTGTTTAGTTTGATTGTTCATAAGTAGAACTTTTCAGGTTTAATATTGTATTGCGTTTGGTAGAGTGCATCATTTTACTATTATCTAACATCTTGTATTACCTGTGCTCAGATCTATCTGGACTACTGCATAACATTACTGCATAGATTCATTTTGACCTTTTAGCTGTTCAGTTTGTCATTTAGTTAAAAACATTCCTGCTCAAATTGATAACAAGTACAAAAATGTGCTGTTTGATACTGTTTCAGCAGCCGGTTAAATGGGTAAGATGGACATTTTTAGAAAGTGTCTCCCACAGGTTAAAGAGCTGAAAACAGAGCATGATATAGGACATTCTTAGAAAGTGTTTCCCACAGGTTAAAGAGCTGAAAATAGAGCATGATATATGACATTCTTAGAAAGTGTCTCCCACAGGTTAAAGAGCTGAAAGCAGAGTATGATATAGGACATTCTTAGAAAGTGTCTCCCACAGGTTAAAGAGCTGAAAGCAGAGTATGATATACTGACATTCTTAGAAAGTGTCTCCCACAGGTTAAAGAGCTGAAAGCAGAGTATGATATACATGATTTAAAAAAAACAATAACTATATTATTAGTTGAGTTTATCTGTAATGTATTATAGGTTTTTGTTTTATTTTTTGAAAATTCTAGAGACACTGAGTTAGTTTCCTTTGTGACTAATTTGGTTTCAGTATTCAGGTTTGACATTTAGTGCAGGTTGATAAAATAGTAGCTTGTAAGAGAGACTTCCTGAGTTAAAGTTTATCTTGACCCTCCACAAGTATTGCCAATCCTTTCTGTTCAGATGTATTTAATATTGAGAGAATTAACAGCTAAGTTGTAACTATTGGCACGACAACATGGACCTTGCTAATTTTTGGAAGAAATTATTTGTCTCCTGTTAAATACGAGGACAGAAAATGTCATAATACTTAATTGATTTATTTCTTTGCTATTAAAGCTTCAGATTTTCACACTAGAATAATAATTTATAGTTTTTTTCAAATAAAATATGTTATTTTATACACGTAAAATGGTAAGGTTTACTTCATATTTATATTGAATATTAAGAGCTTTGCTCTTAGGTATTGTACAAAAATTTTACTTTATGAAGAAAACTTTTCAATACGATGTTTCTGTACCATGTGACACCTGGACTTTGTTTTTGTTCTGTTATGTGGTATTCAAACAGTGAAAGCAATGTCTTATTTATAAATAATTCAAGTATCTCAGAACCATGTTTCATCCTCATTCAATTGAGTAGAAAGTAAATTATAAACCAAATATCCTCTGCAGATCACAAGGTTGTTTTAAATTCTTTCACGTGTGAAATCAGTCATGTGACTAGAAACTTGTTTTAAAGTTTGCTGGATTTTATGTCTACCCTTTGATTCTTTCATAAAAAAAAAAGATATTTTAATGTTGAAATAACACTTGTGTAAATAACACTTGTGTAAATAACACTTGTGTAAATTTTAAATGCTGCACTTGTTAAAACAGACCAACATTTATTGTTACACAATAACGTTTTAAAAATAGACTGTCCTCATTCTCAAAATACAATAAAACCTATATTCAGTAGTTTACTGTGTGAAGATAAAAAGCCATGAGACTGGACACAATTTTGTACACTTGACATGCTTCAAAATCCTGATGATAACGAAGTAAGATGTTGAAATGTGTCAAGTGTGACCAGTTTCAAGGTTTTTATCTTTATACAGTAAATTATTGAATAAATGTTTTTTTTATTTTATTTTGAGAGTGGGAACAATCTCGTTTTATGCCCCCTAGTAGCACAGTGGTATGTCTTCAGACTTATACTGTTAGAAACTGGGTTTCGATATCCATGATGGGCAGAGTTTGAGTAGTTTTGTGCTTAATAACAAAAAAAAATCTCATTTTAAAATATTGATTGTGTACTAATAAATGTTGGTTTCTCTGTTTAACTGTGCTATTTAAAGATATATATATATATATATTCCAAAATTATTACCTCTGTAAGTTAAAAGGTTTTTACCTCATACTGATCAAATTTGGAACAAAGGTTGAGTGCTCTCCAAAGGACCAATTAAATAACTTCTGGTGAATATTGTTCAAAGGTCAACATAATACTGAAGGTGAACCACTTTAAAAATGGTTAAAATTTGAGAAGAGATTGAGATGCAAAGAGGATTTTGGATGCTATGGGACAGGGGTTGCACTCTTTCAGCATATTTCTAGTTATTATTATTAATTTCACTATAGTTACTTCCCTCGTTAGCAGTAACAAAGAATGTGGCCCAGGTACGCGTGCAACACCCACCATCCAATAACTAAAGAGGCCGCTTCCTTAGGTAATCACCTATTAAGATCATGTTGCACAATCACCGAGTAACTTGTGTAGATGGATTTAGTTATTGCTTTATGTGGCATGGTTATAAAATGTACAAAAAAAAGTGAAATGTTACCATATGTATAACAGACGTTTCATATTTGTGTGACATCAAAATAAAAGGTCAGAGTAAGGGGCTGAAATATTGTAAATTGTGGTTGAGTCTCCCCCCCCCCCCAAAATAATATTAGGCTTCCTCTTTAACAAGTACAATTATCTGGTAATTAGAAAAAAAATATTTTAAAGACTCCATCTCTAACTGAATTACTTACTGTTTTACAAAACCATTTTTCTACAGCAGTCATGTAGATTTTAACTTGTCACTGTCACATAGACTAGGTATAATAAACACTTTGTATTAGGTAATGTTTTAATCCTGACAGGCTGTTCTTTTATCAACTACAAGGTCATAACTACTGGATTCAACTTGTAAACTTTGATCTTTGTTGATTCTATTATTGAAAAAACTTTATTATGATATGATGATTAAAAAAAAAAGAAAACTTTAACAGTGATGCACTTATATTTTCTTTTTTTTTAGCTCCCTGTAGAAATGAATCAACTTTTGGAGTAAATTTAAAGTTGAAGGTAGACTTGCCTCCTTTTATGTAAAGGCATTGGCTATATTTTTGTGATTTAAGGAAACCTTACATTTAGAACTGTTGCTTTAAAATTCTTCCAACAGCTAACAAAACACTGCCGTTGTTAGTTGAGGGATTTGTTAGCTCCTCTGTAGGATAACCTACCTGTAGGCTCATCCTACTGTAGGATAATCCATCTTTCCAAGGGGCTCATCCTATTATTGGATAATCCATCTTTCCAAGGGGCTCATCCTATTGTTGGATAATCCATCTTTCCAAGGGGCTCATCCTATTGTTGGATAATCCATCTTTCCAAGG